ATAGAAACAGGGTCTTGCTCTGTCACCCAGGCTGGAGCGCAGGCTGGCATGATCATAGCTCACTGCAGACTCAAAGTCCTGAGCTCAAGAGATCCTCTGACCTTAGCCTACCAAGTAGCTAGGACTACGGGTGCACACCATCAAGCCCAGCTAGTTTTTAAAATTTTTTGTAGAGATGGGGGTCTCCTGTTGCCCAGGCTGGTCTCCAACTCTTGGCTTCAAGGGATCCTCCCACCTCAGCCTTTTAAAGTATTGGGATTACAGGCATGAGCCACTGAGCCCAGCTGGAGCTGTTATAAATATAAAACCACTGTGATATACTGAGGATATAAATGTATGGCATGGGCTAGATAATGACTTGTCTTTGAGCACTTTCATCTCATGTAAAGAGGACCTTACTATACTCAAGCCCCGATTCTTCCAAATTGGCATGAAGAGTAACTCTCTTCTTAGGGAGAGATACTTGAGCTCATTGCCCCATCTGTTTTTCCCAGGTGTTCAGCTCCTTTTTGGGGAGTCTTTTATTATCTGTTATCACAATAGTGAGCCTCTAGAAAGGCCCCCCACTTCCCAATGGTCTGATCAAAAGGGCATCATCTTTAATTCACTTTTCATTCCTTAACAGTTCTGCTGAAACCACGTGGAACAGTTGAAAAGACTGCCCACGTCTCAGAGGTGACAGAGAGAAACAGTCACAGGGATTAATAAAGCTTCCTGTCATTTAGCTTACAAGATAGAGCTTGCTCCTCTTAAGCCTGGGGTCCCCCACGGCAATGCTTCCTGTCAGTAGCTACTTGACCCTCAGGGTGGTCTGCATAGTGAATTAGTAAGTCCAGGGTTGAGGCAAAAGTCCCCAAGTTGTTTTCACCTTCTGAGGGGAATAAAAATCTATCATTTTTAGTGTTACTCTCTTGTTTTGTGAGCCCCTTCCATACCTAGGGCACCTGCACCATTGGTAGAGGTTTATGAGGAGGCTCTTTTGCCATGTCTCAGTGATTTGAAGAGGGCCGACTCCAAGAATTCCAAGTTATTCATTGTGGAGAAATGGTATTTTTTAGGCCACAATTTTATTAAAAGCTTGGGCAGTGTCTAAAAGGGGTACAGCAGTCCCCCCTTATCTGAGGTTTTGTCTTCTGTAGCTTGTTATCCAAGGTCAACTGCAGTCCAAAAAAAAATTAAATGGAAAATCCCAGAAATAAACAATTCATAAGTTTTATTTTATTTATTTTTTGAGATGGAGTCTTACTCTGTCACCCAGGTTAGAGTGCAGTGGTGCGATCTCAGCCCAGTGCAACCTCCGCCTCCCAGGTTCAAGCGATTCTCCTGCCTCAACCTCCCAAGAAGCTGAGATTACAGACACATGCCACTACACCCAGTTAATTTTGTACTTTTTAGTAGAGATGGGATTCCACCATGTTAGCCAGGCTGGTCTTGAGCTCCCGACCTCAGGTGATCTGCCCCTCTTGGCCTCCCAAAATGCTGGGATTACAGGCATGAGACATGTTTTAAAATGCATGTTGTGCTGAGTAGCATGATGAAATCTTAAGCCATGCCACTCCATCCTTTTGGGACTCCTTAGAATCAGTCACTAAGTAGCCATTTCTGTCATCAGATCGACCATCATGGTATTGCAGTGCTTGTGTGCAAGTAACTCTTTAATAATGGCCCCACATTGCAAGACTATGATGTTGGCAATTTGGGTATGCCAAAGAGAAGTCCTAAAGTGTTTCCTCTAAATTCTTAATAAGAAAAAAAAATAATATGCTGAGGTTGCTAAGATCTAAGGTAAGAAGGAATTTCATCTACAAAATTGTGAAAAAGAAGTTCATTCTAGTTTCTCTGTTGCACCTCAAACTGCAAAAGTTATGGCCACAGTGCATGATAAGTGCTTAGTTAAGATTAAAATTTGTGGGTTGAAAACATGCACATTTGTGGATAGAAAACATGAACAGAAATATGTTCCAGTTGACAGCAATCGGGTTGTTACTACGCACAGTTTCAGGTATCAATTAGGCGTCTTGGACTGTATCCCCTGCAAGGATGAGAGGACTCCTTATGTTGTATGATAACATGATTGGCAGACAGTCACTTCATGTCTTTGCTTCTGAGAAAGCTGGTTATCACTCATGGGGAATGGATTCCGTGAACTGCTTGCTGACTTGAATGACATGTGATTGAAAAAAAACCAGATCTGGCTGATCTCCTTCTGTGCTGGTGAGCAGCCTTTCCCACTTCAGGGATGAAGCAAGGTGTAACCTCTAATGTCCTCTTTCTTGTCCTTTGCTCGGAATTATCTAGTCTATTCAGTCTTTTTAGTTCAAGGTTTTAGTCTGTGATTGGACCGTCACTTGCTTTCTACATATACGTAGGCCCATTTTGAGAATCTTGAAAGGCCCACCGAGCACCTCATAGAGAATACCACACAATAGACTACTGAAGCTCTATTCTTTAAACGCATGCTTTTCCCCATGCCAGTGACGTAGTCAGCATTTCCTGACGTCGCATGTCAACTGCTTATCAATGCAGTGTCTTTGGAGGCATTCAGAAGACATCAGGGAAAAGAATCACGTGGCTTGGGTCGACAGGAGTTAGAGGAATCGTTATTGTTCACTATATACTCTTATAACTTTTTAGTTTTTATATCAGCTCCTTATTTTTGAAAGGAAAGAAATTTTAACATAAAAGTGATAAAACCCCCATTTACAATGTTTAAGTTATGGAATAGATTCAAGTAAAGCATATCTTGTGTTTGTAAATATATTCTGTGATATTTGACATAGCTGAGGTTTTAATTGGGGAGTCATTATCTGTACCTTTTACGTGAATTATCCCCTGCTCAACAAATTCTGGATGGGATGAGATCGTGACAGGGGAGGCAAATATGCAAGGAGGTCATTACAGACAATACACATTGCCCAGTGGTTACCTGTGATTGGTCTGTTTTGCTTCGTAGGTTCTTGGTGAGATGACTGAGCTGCTGTCCTCCTCCAGAAACTATGACAATTACCGGCGAGCCTATGGGGAGTGCACTGACTTCAAGATCCCCATCCTTGGTGTGCATCTCAAGGACCTCATCTCCCTGTACGAAGCCATGCCTGACTATCTGGAGGATGGGAAAGTGAATGTCCACAAGCTACTGGCCCTGTACAATCACATCAATGAATTAGTCCAGCTACAAGAAGTGGCCCCACCCTTGGAGGCCAACAAGGACTTGGTACACTTGCTGACGGTGAGGCTCACACTGGAGAACAATTACTAAGCACTTTCTGTGTGCCAATTGCCATTCTATACACCTGACCAAATATTAGCTGTTAATCCTCGTAAAGGCTCTATGAGGCAGATACTATTATTATTGCCAACAGATAGCTAGGGATACTAAGGCATAAAGATGTAACTTGCCAGGAGACCACACATTAAGTAGCAGAGCCTTGATTCAGACCCAGGTGGGGGGACTCTAGAAGCAGTACCCTTCAGACTTCAAGGACTGTTTCACTACCCCTACTAAAGCAGTCCTAAGCTCTCTGGGAGGAGCAGATGGCAAATCAGGATACAAGACTTGGTAACAGATGGAGAGAATGTGCTCTCATAAAAAGGGCAGGCAGTAAGTAAAAAAACAAAAACACCCAGGGTTATTTGGTTCGTGGCTTGGATCTTTGTTCTTGGAGATATTCAAGAAAAGGGTAGTTGTCAGTGGTATTGGAGACCAGGATTTGCATCTTGAGCGTGGGGTAAGATCAGATGAACTCCCTTCCAGACGTGCGATTCTGTAGTTCACCAGCCGTATGACTAAGGGCATATAATCCTCCAAGTTTCCTCTCCTCAGAGGGATCAGTCACTGGGATGACTTGTAACTTCTCTTCCAGTTCTAAAGTTACACAGTTTTTAACCTGCTGTTTCTGGAGAGTGGAATTATGATCATAACTTCTTTCTGCCTCACAGCAGGATTTTGATAGAGCCCTGGGTTTCACATCAGCTGGTTTGTGATCCTAGACCTTTCACTTATCAGCCAGGTGACCTTGGAAGGTCTGTGCTTCAGACATCATCATTTGTAAAAAGATGCACTGAATCTTAACATTATAAATCGTGTGATGAAAGCTGTGAACCTTCTTCCCAGAATAATGTACACAAGCCATATATTTTTAAATATGCATGTAATTTCAAGGAGTTCTGAACTCCTTGAAGCCTATGCATACACTTAAGAATAAGATTATTCCTAAGACTTTTAAGACTTCTCTCCTAAAAGTTTATAGTTCTAAGATATATGAAACTCATGAACCTTATTTTATTTATTTATTTATTTATTTATAGACAAGGTCTGGCTCTGACACCTAGCCTGAAGTGCAGTGGTGCAATCTCAGCTCACTGCACCCTCTGCCTTCCAGGTCCAAGCCATCTTCCCACCTCAGCCTCCTGAGTAGCTGGGACCATAGGCGTGTGCTACCATGCGCGGCTAATTTTTGTATTTTTTGTAAAGACAGGGTTTTGCCATGTTGCCTAGAGTGGTCTCAAACTCATGAGCTCAAGCAGTCTACCTGCTTTGGCCTCCCAAAATGCTGGGAATATAGGTATGAGTCACTGTACACCCAGCCTCATTAACTCTTAATAGCAATTAATATGTCTTACCATTTAAACTGGATTTTATTGCTGGACTCAAAATTTAATAGTCTCAGACCATACACATCATCCTACCAGATCATCTGTCTGCTTTGAGAGAGAACAATTGATGTACTAGTGATCTGTCCAAACAAGGCCTTTAGCCTAAGCTCTATATAGAGGCTTAGATTTAAATCATAGTTAAAAAGAGGGCATCCTAAGATATGTCCAAAATTTAAAAACATTTTAATGAGAAGGAATTAATGCTTGCCCTATTGTAATAGTGACTGTTACAACTGTTTTGTGAATTTTAAAAACAAACTTCTTAGATCCTAGAAGAGTAAACTACTGGCAAGGAGAACCAAGAAAGAAAGAAAGAAACATCAGCCCTGGGAGAGGCAAACAGCATCTTAGCAATGAACCCTGTTCTGCTTTGATCTGCAGTTATCCCTGGATCTTTACTACACTGAGGATGAAATCTATGAGCTTTCCTATGCCCGGGAACCAAGGAACCACAGAGCTCCAGTGAGTTTTTCATGTTAAGACTCCACATGTAACAGGTGCTTTACAAGTTTCTCCTCAAGTTCATTCATCCTCAGGAACAGACTTTTGGTTCTGTTTAAGTATACTCCTTTTCTTAAGTGCTCATTCTTATGCTAGGAACAGAGAAAGCTTTTCAACATATGTGTGAGGAATAGTTCCTGTCCATTAAAAAGCTATGATCTAGTTGAAGGGGTAAGCCTAATGTGTGACCAGTGAATAACTATGCCATCAGAGTGTCAGGTGTGGTGGAATCAGTCAGTGGTTTACAAAGTAGAGAAGGAAGATAGTATTGTGCTCCAGAATGACATCGCCCTCCCATTAAGAAGTGTCCCCACGTAAATTTCTTTTCTATGATTCATTGATAATGAGAGTAATACGCATATTAATCAGAAGCTAAAGTTTTGAAGATTTCCAGGTTGGTAGATAGAAAGGCCCCATTTTCCTGTAATGTTCTGGGTGAAAAGAACAGTCTGCTGAGTATTTTGACCTCTTATGCTGAGAAGTCCTCACAGTAGTACAGTCCTGGCCCTGCCTGCCGTAGGAACTTCACAGGTTATCTGCCCTGCCTCTCCCACAGAAAGATCAATTTTCCAGCTTTCACTTGTAATGAAAGACGTCCACTGAAAATGTTTGGTAGATTCCATTTTCAGGTGTTAGAGGCATTTCAATGGAAAGGGTAACTTCTGCTTTTGAAAGATTTTAATTTGGGCTGAGTTTCAAATACAGTCATGCACTGCATAATGACATTTTGGTCAGTGATAGACCAAAATATGACAGTGGTCCCTTTTAAGATCATAATGGAGTAGAAAAATTACTGTTGCCTAGTGACAGAACAATTACACATATTTTTTTTCTCCTAAGTAGAAAAAAGGTTACAATATTACATTGTAACATTGTAGTGAAACACATTACTCACTATGTCTGTGATTACAGTGGTGTAAACAAACCTGAGCTGTAAAAAGTCTAGGTCATACAATTATGTATAGTACATAATACTTGATAATAAATGACTGGCTTATGCACTTACTTTACAATACTTTTCATCATTATTTTAGAGTGCATTCCTTCTACTTAGGAAAGTTAACTGTGAAATAGCTTCAGGCAAGTCCTTCAGAAAGTGACAGCTCTATGCCTGTTATTGCCCCTAAAGACCTTTCAACGGGACAAGATGTGGAGTGGAAGACAGTGATATTGATGATCTTGACTCTGTAGAGGCCTAGGCTAATGTATGTAATTGCTTGTACCTTAGTTTATAACCAAAAAAGTTTTTTTAAAATTAAACATTTTTAAAATAGAAAAAGGTTTATAGAATATGGCTATAAAGAAAGAAAATAGGCCGGGTATGGTGGCTCACGCCTGTAATCCCAGCACTTTGGGAGGCCAAGGCGGGTGGATCATGAGGTCAAGAGATTGAGACCATCCTGGCCAACATGCCGAAACCCCGTCTATGCTAAAAGTACAAAAAATTAGCTGGGCGTGGTGTTGCGTTCCTGTAGTCCCAGCTACTTGGGAGGCTGAGGCAGGAGAATTGCTTGAAACTGGAAAATGGAAGTTGCAGTGAGCCGGGATCACGCCACTGCACTCCAGCCTAGTGATAGAGCGAGACTCTNAAAAAAAAAAAAAAAAAAAAGAAAGAAAATAACTTGTACAGCTATGCAATGTGTGTTTTAAACCAAGTGTTATTACAAGAGTAAAAGTTAAAAAAATTAAAAGCTAAAAAAAATTAAAAGCTTTTAAAGTAAACTAAGGTAATTTATCACTGAAGAAAAGAATTTAATAAACTTAGTATGGCCTAAGCGTACAGTGTATATAAAGTGTATAGGAATATACAGTAATGTTAGGCTTTCACATCTACTCACCACTCATGACTCGCCAGAGTAATTTCTAGTCTTGTAAGCTCTATTCGTGGTTAAGTGTCCTATACAAGTATACCATCTAAAAAAAATTCTATACCACATTTTTACCTTTTCTATGTTTAGATATGTTAAGATAAACAAATACCATTATTACAATTGCCTACAGTATTGAGTACAGTATTGAGTACCTGCTGTACAGGTTTGTGGCCTAGGAGCAGCACGTTATACCATCTAGCCTAGGTGGATAGCAGGCTACACCACCTAGGTTTCTGTAAGTACACACTGTGGTGCTCACACAATGACAAAATCACCTAATGACACATTTCTCAGAACATAATCCAGTCATTAAGTGATGCATGACTGTATTTAGAAAAGTGCTTATCCAGGCTTCAGATTATTTTTCTGTGTCTTCCTGCCTTTTAGCTATGCATTTCCTTATTCACATTTCTACTACAGTGACTAGAGAATAGAGAGGAAACATAAATGATCCACTTTACTCTTTGTTGATAGCTCTGACAAAAGGTTTAATGGAGAGCGAATTGCAACTCAGGCAGATTGAGAATTTCAAATTATCTGTAGTTGCCGATAATGTATGTGAAGAGCACTTTAGAAACCATGAAGCACAATACCTTGTTAGCCAAAATTATTAGTAGGGATTTCAATTGCCTGTGGGTTTTCTGCTCCTTACCACTGAACATAATTGAAAATTGTCCATAAATGTAACTGTCAAGTAGTGGGTAAAGAAAGAGAGGTATATAATGTTGGAATGTAGTCATGAGGATTTTTCTGAATATTTCATTTTAGCCACTAACACCTTCAAAGCCACCAGTAGTAGTGGACTGGGCTTCTGGAGTATCTCCCAAACCTGATCCAAAGACCATTAGCAAACACGTCCAGAGGATGGTAGATGTAAGTACAGCTGTGTTTCAGCATGCAAAAGCAAGGCACTGCCTGGCTCAGTTTTGTACGTGGGGTAAAGGGAGAGGAGAGCATAATGATGGAAATGTAAAGGTAAGAAACTTGAAAGGAAGCACTTACTTCTCTTACTGTGGCTTTAGAACAATTCAAAAGTTATTTTGACAACACACTTTGGCCTCATATGAAGGCAGTTGTGCCTCTTAAAAGACCTAGCAGAAGAGCATGTTTAAAGGTTGTCATTTGATTTAGGAGCAGAGAAGTATTGGGATATATTTGACTATAGTAAGGGTAATAAGGTAAAACTATAACTGAAAAAGTTTGTACTGCTTGATTCAGTTCTCTGTGCTAATTGCTGAGGAAGGGGTATATATTCTCTTATGTCTGCATTTTCCTTGTGGGCAACTCCCATGTAAACAACAGAAAACTAAGAGCAGAGCAGTGAGAAACAGAAGGTTAAGAGTTGGGACAGTGTACTTCCAACTGGGCTGTTTACAGAAGTTTCTCAAAGAAGGGGCAACTGGAGCTGAGTGATGAAAAAAGGGCAAGAGTGAAGGGGGAACATCCCTCTGTGCAGTGAACAAGTAGCCGATGTGATGGTATAATTGATGTGCTAATGACTGAAAGGACCTGGATACCCTCCAAAAGCTGGTACCAGCAAAGGCCTAAGATGTGACTGGCCACATCTTTGCCTCAGCGAAAGCAGGTTTCCCTATTCCTCTCATTCAGGCTGTTAAATGGCTTTTATCCAAAGGCCCCAGCTCTTTGTCATTTTACTAAAGGCAGAGAAGACCGGTTTCTCTTTAGTAATCACCCAAAACACTCCTTTTTCACAGTCTGTCTTCAAGAACTATGATCATGACCAGGATGGATACATTTCTCAGGAAGAATTTGAAAAGATTGCTGCGAGTTTTCCATTTTCCTTCTGTGTGATGGACAAAGACAGGTGAGGGTTTGTATACAGGAATATGTGGTTATGAGCCCACTGGTGAGAACAGGTTTATGGATATGTCACTAGAAGAATTTGAAAATTCAGAGGTGTTGCTGCTGTGATCACATAAAGAACCAACCATGAAATATGCATGCTTTTATTCAGGGCTGGGCATGGTGGCTCACGCCTGTAATCCCAGCACTTTGGGAGGCTGAGATGGGTGGGTCGCCTGAGCTCAGGAGTTTGAGACCAGCCTGGTCAACATGATGAAACCGTGTCTCTACTAAAAATACAAAAATTAGCTGGGTATAGTGGTGGATGCCCATAATCCCAGCTACTTGGGAAGCTGAGACAGGAGAATTGTTAGAACCCAGGAGGTGGAGGGTTGCAGTGAGCTGAGATCATACCACTGTGCCCCAGCCTGGGCCACAAGAGCAAAACCTGTCTCAAAAAAAAAAAAAAAAAAAATCTGAATTGAATATTCCATAAATCTGCCACTTTAGAAACAGCCAACTCTAAATAAGAAAAAGGTTAGCCCACCTTCTTGCTTTATCATTACAGATTCTGGGAAACAACTAATACTTAATAATATTTGCATATTTACTTTTCTCAAGGTTAAATACTATCTTGGTTCTCTATAGGAAACCAATTGTATGGTTAGTGGATTCCAGTTGGGTGCTGTTTTAAGTCAGAAACTAGCATAAGACATTTCTCTCCCAATACATGTGTACATTTTACATTGTTTCTTTTGCAAGTCTTGTAGGTAGTGGTCAAGTTAGTTAGGAAAACCTAGTTTGGCTGAAGAACAACTGTGGAAATGAGTAACGCTGCCTCACCTACTTATTATATGCCATCTTGTATCCTTGTTAAGAGTAGGGCTCATGGAAGTCATCATGAGGTAGCACATACCATATTACCACTGAAGATAAAAAGAAAGGTGAGTTTTTAAGGCTAGAAGCCACCCTTGCCCCATGCCCCTTAAACTCACATCCTTGCCTTGGTCATTTGCTGGCAGGGAAGGCCTCATCAGCAGGGACGAGATCACAGCCTACTTCATGCGAGCCAGTTCAATCTACTCCAAGCTAGGCCTGGGCTTTCCTCACAACTTCCAAGAGACCACCTACCTGAAGCCCACGTTTTGTGACAACTGTGCTGGATTTGTAAGTTGTTCGTAGGGTGCTTCAGGGTTGAATTTGGGGAAGGGTATGGGACAGTTTAACTAAGACACAATCCTTATAAACCCATCCCAGCTTAGAGCCCAAACAGACTCCTAGAATCACCTAGGGCTCAAGTGTGTGGTTTTTACCTGCACTCATTGTCTCTCATTTCTTTCTGATTTTTCTTTTCCATGTATGAGGCCTTAGATAAATGGTACAGAAATGCTAAATTAGGGATATACTTTTAAAGTATTAAATTCAAAGACATATGAGATACCTTCTATCTTTAGGAGATAACCTGGGCTGTGCCCCTCCTCTGTTCCACCCCTGACCAATAGTTTCCCCCTAAACCCGGGCTCCTGATGCAAGGCTCTGTATCCTTCTCAGTTTGGAGTCCTGAGGAACCTGTTTGCCCTATGATTCATCAGTTTCTGGAGAATGTCTGGGTCATAAAGCTGCTAGTGAGGGCTAGGCGTGGTGGCTCATGCCTGTAATCCCAGCACTTTGGGAGGCTGAGGCGGCAGATCACTTGAGACTCAGAGTTCGAGACCAGGTTGCCTAATATGGCAAAAACCCATCTCTACTAAAAATACAAAAAACATTAGCCAGGTGTGATGGCACATGGCTGGTAGTCCCAGCTACTTGGAAGGCTGAGATGGGACAACTGCTTCAACCCAGGAGGTGGAGGATGCAGTGAGCCAAGATTGCACCACTGCATTCCAGCCTGGGCATGACAGAGCAAGGCTATTTAAAAAAAAAAAAAAAAAAAAAGCTGTATCTTCTGCATCTTGAGAAACTTTGATCAGCATAAACTTTTCTCATGTTTAGTTAAGGTCAGAAGGGACAAGACATGAGAGATAAATAAGGTTTTCATCCCACCTGAGCTAGAATGAAGGAAAATAAGGCATGTCACTTTGTGCCCTCATATCAGATAATAAATGACATTTGGTGCATTCTGTCTCTTGTTTTATAGCTCTGGGGAGTGATCAAACAAGGATATCGATGTAAAGGTAAGACTCAGCATTGTTGACTGTTTTTTCTGGTGTATCAGGCCATTCTCACACTGCTATAGATAACTGCCTGACTGGGTAATTTATAAAGGAAAGAAGAGGTTTAATTGACTCACAGTTCCACAGGGCTGGGGAGGCCTCAAGAAGCTTACAATCATGGCAGAAGGGAAAGCAAACACATCCTTCACATGGTGGCAGGAAGGAGAAGTGCCGAGCAAAAGGGGGAAAAGCCCCCTATGAAGCCATCAGATCTCATGAGCACTCACTATCATGAGAACAGCAAGAGGGTAACAGCCCCCATGATTCAATTACCTCCTATCTGGTCCCTCCTATGACACGTGGGGATTATGGGCACTACAATTCAAGGTAAGGTTTGGATGGGGACACAGAACTAAACCATATCACCTGGTCTTGGAGTCCCTCCTCTAAAACATTTTTTACCCATAGTAGTTGTCCAGTTAGTCCACAGCTTCTCGGCAGAGTTCAGAGTCTCATCCCCAAAGTGGTTTCCCTAGAACACCCCTTGTGAATGACCACCACACCAAAAACAATGTCTGGTTAGGAAGTTAGCCAGTTTCCCTTTATAAAATCCTCTTTCTGTCTTCACTGGCCTAGAAACAGGGATGGCTGGTAGGAGATGGTGATCTCATATAGTCATGAAGCGTAGGTCCCCAGTGAAAAGGACAGAATCACTTCTGGAACAGAAGATAAATGATTACTTAAGGCCCTTGTCAGCCTTCCTTTATCAGTAGAGACCTCAGGACATAACTGTCCTTCCTTGTGACTAGGAAGATTCAGGAGTGTAAGAGAGGCGACCTTTTACTACAAGGAAGAAAATAAGACCTAACAGCCGATCATTTCTGGAGGGTTTCACTAGAGTAGGCAGAATGTGTGGGATACCAGGACACCATGTCTTCCCTCCAAGATATCAGGATGCTGCCTCTGATGCTGAGACTCACCAATAAGGGCTACATCTGGAGTGTGAGCTCTGGGCTTCACCAAGTGAGAAGAATGCTAGGTTCATTAGGAATGTTAAGTGTCTTAGCTCCAGAAGATAGAACAGACAGGTGTCACAAGAGAGCACTGCATGAATTTGGTTGTAAGACACACTGGGGAAGAGAGAAAGTGAAAGATTTCTTGACCCAGGATGTCTTATCCACAGACTGCGGGATGAACTGCCACAAACAGTGCAAAGATCTGGTTGTGTTTGAGTGCAAGAAGCGGGCCAAGAACCCAGTAGCTCCCACAGAGAACGCCACCTCCGTGGGGCCCTTGTCCAACCTTTGCTCACTGGGAGCCAAAGATCTGCTCCATGGTAAGTAGGCACTGGGAACATTCATCTTGGAAAGTGAAGTAGGAAGGGAAAAGTTTTAGAGGAGGAAAGATGACTTCATGACTCTATGTTTGAGTTTCAATTAACAGCGAGGCCAGGGCTGAACCCTCCCACAGCTTTGGATTTTAGCTCCATGCCTATGTCTCAGACTTAAGAAGGTGTGAGAATAGCAGAGTCCAGTTAGGCATAAAAACCAGCAGGTACTTATTGAGCACCTACACCAAGCATAGATGCTGACTTCAGGCCAAGATAGTGCCTCAAGTTAACACTGAAGTATCCCCACCCCATCCCCGGCTCCAAACCCAAAACAGTGATAGGGAGAATATGTATGTACATGGGTATGTATGTGTATGTATATAACGTAAATTAACATATATAGTATGTAAATAATATTAAAAGGCATAGTGCATTCAAAAACAAAGACAAAAATATCACAGGTCAGATATGTACACAATGCAAAGAGTAGAAAAAGCTACTGGTCTGCTTGGCTGCATGTGTAGGAAGCAGGTAGAGGCAGCTGCGAATTAGATTTCTGCATAGTAACAGAGACCACGGTGGTCTATGCAGGAAAGGTTACCAGAACCAGACTTACTGCTTAAAATTGAGAAGGAAGGCTAAAAAAAAAAAAAAAACACCTGTGACTATCACTTAGCAGCAAGAAGCAGACTTAGCCACAGGCATTCTTCTACTAGCTGAGTGACTGTGATATCCCAATTTTTCTCCAGGAGAGGAGCCCCAAGCCATTAATTTAAGACCAGGTCCTTGTCTGGGGGACCTTGAGGGGCCAGGTGGGAGATATTTGTCAAAATTCTAGAAACAGAGGGCTAAATGTAGAAAGGAAGAGGGAGAGCAAAACTCCTACCCAAGGGGAGCTTGCAGATTAAAATTCCAAATCATACAAAGAAAATCCTAGGACTAAGCCAACACATTCAACATTCAAAAAATAAACTAGCAAATTCACTTATATTAAAATGCAAACAGCAGTACAATAAGGAAATGATTTTAAACTAAATATGTTTGGGATGCCCCAGGTCTAAAGAGAAAAGAAGCAGAATAGACTACCTCTGTCTTCACGGAGTAGTTCTAGTTCGAGGGAAAGATAATATACAACTATAGAGCAGTTTAGAAACAATGCAAGAATATATGCTAAGAGCCAAACAGGCTGCAGAGACACCAAATGACAGGAGGAAATAACAGAGAGATCACTCTGCTGGGGCTGTTGGGACCTTATGGAGAAGGTGGAATCTCAGCTAAGTTTTGAAGGAAGGGTAGAATTCAGTTAAGAGAGGAGGCGGAGCACATTCCAGATAGGATGTACGGTCGGAGCAAAAGGCAAAGGGCAGAACAGCTTTAGTGCTGTTGACATAGTGGGTGAAAAAGGTGTTACGGCAGAAATGAAGGTTTGGGTAAGAGACAAAGTAGAAAAACAAGACACTCTAGAGAGTCTTAAATGACAGGTGTCTGTCTATATGATAAAATGAGCTACTTAGAAAAGAGTGACATGAAGGGTTTGCTGGGGAGGGTTGGGGGCACAAGGCTTCATAGTGCTATACTAGGCCCTGCTCTCTGGGCCAGCTGGTTAGCCAGCATGTCAAAACACTCATCACCTTGACTAACTAAAGAACATATAGGTATTGGGCAAAAATCCAATGTTTATTAGGTTAGTGCCAGTTTTATATAAGAAGTCATGTGACTTATAATTAGAACCCAAAAGGGAAGTAATAAATGAGTTTATTTATATAAAGCACTTAAAATCAGGCCTAACACATGTACCATATGCTAATATCATGACTCTTTTGAAATAAGCTCCCTAAAGTGGTAAGGCCTCTATAGTTACAACAAATGCCTAGAGAAAACTTGAACTCCACATAGTATATATTCTGCATTTAAAGCACTTCTAATGTTCATTGGTAAATATCAATATGCATTTATTGATCAATTAGATCAAAGCTTAAGTGCTTACGTCCATGCAAGAAATGCATATTCCAGTTTATCACATCAGCCAAGTACAAATTTTCTGCTGTGTTCCTAAATCCTTCCCCATACTGTCTATCTAAACACAGGCTGACTTGAAACCTTTGGAGTGTTTTGTACTTAGGGGGAAAAATCCTCTTACAGTCTTTTCTAAGAAAGAAGATGCTAATCAACTAAGGATTTGATGTTCAACTTTTAATAGAAATCACAAGCACCATTGTGAAAAATAGGCCTGTACCCCCATATTTCATCATGAACTCTGTATTTTCAGTTACACATAACCTTAGGGCACTACAGTTCTGTCACATAAAATGCAGATTTTCAAGTGGAAAAGGTAGCAGAGAGCAGCCTGAATTTCAAGCCTCAAAAGGTAATCCCTGAAGGGTCTGCTGTTAAGAGACTTCTCCTCTCCAGGCCATCTCTCCTCTTTCTCCATACCCTGCCCCACACTGGTAAGACAAGCACTTTTCAGGAAGTAGACCAGTAAGTAGGATAAACACATATGTATCATGGGCAACAAAATGATAATTACTGTGTTACTATAAAGTTGCTAAAAGTCAAAGCCTATTTGACTTTTTCCTTTTAGAAAACTACTATATTAAGTTGCTAGAAGTCAAGGTCTATTTCTGCCTAGGCAGAAATGATGATTGGGTATCATCCATTCTAGTTGTTTCCACCTCATAATTATTTGGGATGGTATCTGCTTATCAAATCAAAATTTGCAGTGATTTAGCCCATTATTGTCTTTCTCAATTTCATCAACTTTCACTTTCATGAAACTTATACCTCTCCTGATTTCTATACCAGTGTGGTCTCGGACTCTTCCTGCAATGTTAAGGGCTTTCTGTTGCTTTTTGTTCTTATTTGCTTTCTGCCTTTAGCTCCCCAGAGTGTACAGTACCCACATTTCTTATCTACTTTCTGCCTTTTGCTCTATTTTGTTATTTGCTTTCTGCCTTTTGCTCCCCAAAGTGTATAGTGCCTATGCTCCCTGTACGTCTAGGAATTCAACCTAAATCACAGAAGGGATTATATTCATAATTTGGCAATTTCGGTTGGTAAAAAGAACATATAACTGTATTACAGAAAAGTTGGAAAATGGAGATATAAAAAATCACCCGTAATACTCCTCCAAAAAAGACAGTGTAATTATTTTAGGGTGACCATAACAATTTAAATATTTGAACATTTAAATAACTATGTAATTACAATTTTGAGCTTTCTTGGATAAATATTAAATGTTAATTTAAATTGTGTTCTCTTCGGCAAGAATTAAACTAGGAACTTTGTAAAATTTCTAGTTTTACAACTGGTTGATTCTGGTCAAATACTAATTAGAAAACTTTTTTGTTTTTTAAAGCCATCTTGACTATACTAATCCAATGTCTTCAAGGTCAGACTATCCAATGTTTTAATCACTGCTGAGTCTTTCCAAAAAGTAAACTTAGATGATGCCGTTTATCTTAAAGCCTCTCTGTCACCCATCTTAAATACATCTGCTCTTACTCTACTTTTCCAGGAAGTTACTCCTTATGGTTGAAATTATTGGCTGGGTCCTGGGTAGTGGGTGGGTCTTAGATGCAGAAGAAAACCAGAGTAACTTACCTTTTTCCTATCAGTATCAAACAATGGCAATTCATTTTAACGCACATTTCTTTCTAATGGTTAAGCTGTGCCCACTGTACAAATGGGTCCCCAGAGAGTTCTTATCATTTGCTTGAGGGTGCCTGTATTAGGACTGAGACATGAATGCTGACAGCTCCCAAATTTCAGGGTCCAAGGGACTATTTATGGAGCATTTCTGTCTATATATTATTCTTGTTCTCTTTAATTATGAAACTATGGCACTGAGGCAGGGGCTTCAACTTACCTCCAAAAACAGAAACCCTCTAGGCAACTTTTGTGCAAACAGAAGATGCTCTTTCTCAGGGTGGATGTAGCTTGACACCAGTGGCCATGTCTTGGCCAGCAAAGCCCCCGATTTCAGCCCTCATTTACCACCTAAACTGAGTGCCTGAAAATGGGTCCTCTTTGAACATATGGAACGCCTGTAACAATAAGAAAGGTCTCATTGAAACGAATGGGTCAGTCTTGAGTCTCTGCTTTCCTGAGCTAGAATGTCCTGTATTTTCCTACAGCACCTGAGGAAGGACCTTTTACATTCCCTAATGGGGAGGCTGTGGAACATGGCGAGGAAAGTAAGGATCGGACCATCATGCTGATGGGAGTGTCCTCGCAGAAGATTTCTCTTCGGCTAAAGAGGACTGTTGCCCACAAGGCCACCCAGACCGAATCACGGCCTTGGATTGGCAGTGAGGGCTCTTCAGGTCCCTTTGTGCTGTCTTCCCCAAGGAAGACAGCCCAGGATACTCTTTATGTGCTTCCCAGTCCCACCTCTCCATGTCCTAGCCCAGTCTTGGTCAGAAAACGGGCTTTTGTCAAGTGGGAGAATAAAGACTCCCTCATAAAATCAAAGGAGGAGCTCCGTCACCTCAGACTGCCTACCTACCAAGAGCTGGAACAGGTACCTTCCTTTTCATTTTCCTTTTTTTCACACTATCTTAGAGAAGTGGAGCCAAACCAGGAAAGAGCGTGTGAACTCAAGATTCTGAAGATTCACATCAGGCTGACTCCAAGCAGTCTTGAAAACAAAAAGAGAGGGGAGAAACGGAGGGAGGGAAGGAAGAAAGGATGGATTGATTCCAGCTTTCTCACAACCCCGGGGGGAGGGGGGGCTTGGTTCATATTACACAAGTAGCACAGGCTTTACAGGGCTCCCTATCACCACACAGGTGGCACTTCAGAGTGTGGTGCCAGTGCCCAAAGCACTGTTTACTAGGCTCACGGAGAAAAACCACAGTATCTACTGGTCAGCTTTACTGTTCTACCACTCCTTTTCTAGATGGAACTAAAATGAACGTGCCTAAATCCTCCTTCCCTAGAGGTCTCTTTAACATGTTCATCAGGGTTATGGTTTGGGATCATGGTTACCTAAGAGAAGTTAGTGATTTTAGTTCTACAGCAACAACAAGAGAAAGGTGAGTGTATTGTGGCTCACCATAGAAAACACCTACTTCCTAATATAAATGAGGAGAATCTTTTCTGACACATGAGGAAATGTGCTGATCTTTTATACATAGTAGAACAGTGAAAGCGATAGTAGCAGCAAATACATGGCTGAATATAATATAGGGCAATAGAATCTATAAAATGTTTACAATTATGACAACAGGAGCTGCTTTTTAATGTTAGGTTCACAATATCCTAATTATCAGGTACCTAATAGAGACAATGGAAAAGACAAAGTTTACCAAGAAAAGACAAAGTTTACCAAGAAAAGAAGAACAAGAGTTTGGAAACATGATGACAAGCTTTGAGAGAAGGGAACAATGACATTAAAAACAGGAAAAAGTAGGGCTGGGCATAGTGGCTTACACCTGTAATCCCAGCACTTTGGAAGGCAGAGGTATGAGGTTAGGAATTCGAGACCAGCCTGACCTCAACATGGTGAAACCCTGTCTTTACTAAAAATACAAAAATTAGCCAGACATGATGGAAGGTACTTGCAATCCCAGCTACTCGGGAGGCTAAGGCAGGAGAATCACTTGAAGCCAGGAGGCGGAGGTTGTAGTGAGCCAATATGAAGCCACGGCATAACAGCCTGGGCAACAGAGTGTGACCCCATCTTTAAAAAAAAGAAAAAAAAGGAAAGTAGGAAATGGGAACAGCAGAAGGAAGACGAGCCAACAGGCAACTGTCGAGACACTCAATTCTGTAGGTTCAATCACTGATATACTTCTTTTTGTTTAGACTCGAGGACACAAATCACAGGGCTGTCTCAAGAGGTTACCTTTAATTGGTAATAACCTATAAATGGTAAGAAACTCTGTCCTACGACAGTAGTTTCCTTTCTTTTTCTTTTTTTAATTTAATTTAATTTTTTTTTTTTTGAGACAGAGTTTCGCTCTTGTTACCCAGGCTGGAGTGCAATGGCGCAATCTTGGCTCACCACAACCTCTGCCTCCCAGGTTCAAGCCATTCTCCTCCTTCAGCCTCTCGAGTAGCTGGAATCACAGGCATGTACCACCATACCTGGTTAATTTTGCCTTTTTAGTAGAGATGGGGTTTCTCCATATTGGTCAGGCTGGTCTCAAACTCCTGACCTCAGGTGATCTGCCCACCTTGGCCTCCCAAAGCGCTGGGATTATAGGCGTGAGCCACCACGCCGAGCCCTACTATCCTATGACAGTATTTTCTTACCACTTATAGGTAACTAAGCCATTTTAAAGACAGGGAAGCAAGGTTACATTAATATCAATCAACATTATCATTCAGTATATTAGAGGAGGAGGAATGCCTTTCTGGCTTTTCCCCAAAACATCAAGGTTTGCACTGTGTTTCTGGAAGCCTGTCAGTGCAAACACAAAACCAGTATCCAGCTAATAGAATTCCTTATATAATTAATTCTACATTCTGCAGAGTGAAAAACTGTCCATGAGGGTTTCAGGATTCCCTGCATTGTCCTCAATGCTGTACCTTCCCTGTCAGACCCCAGAAATTGGATTAAAGAAACATTTGAAGAAACAAATTAGATAATGTATGTGAAACTCTTGATTTGGTGCTTGGTACAAAGAACATAATATTAAGACAAATTTATGGAAAAAGAACAGATTTTCTGGATGAATGGTACTCTACCTGCTCAGAGTTATTGTTAAGATGTGTTATAAAAACCAAGTCAATCAGAAGGTAGCAAAACGTAGGTTACACAAACCCCTTCCTCTTCAGGGATAGAAACTGCCAAATGCAACCTTTAAAAACCAAGAAAGAAACCTCAAAAAATGAACTCAATAGACAGAACTTTGGTCTTGGAGGCAAAGATTTGTGTTTTCAGTCCCAAATGTTTCTTACACCAGCTGTTAAACTCTACGGTCTATTTGGTCCTTGTGAAATACAAGGCTGGGATTCCATGTTCTGTAAGGTTTGCCTCAATGACATTTTACATGCCAATGAAAAGGAACAATGTGGTTGGCAACAATGCTTTGAGAGGTGGCTTGTAGAAAGATTAGAATTCCTACTCAGCAATATCAGAGCCAATAAACTCTCTTTGTCCACTGCCTCTCTTTACTTTTTAGGCTTGTCATATAGACCTAAGCTCCACAATTCACTGTGTGCATTTTAGAGGAAAATTATGTGTCCCACTTTCCCATTACATATAATCCTTACAATGACTAGTCTGTGTAATTCAACAGTCCTATCCACAACAACTAGTCAAATTAAATCAGTATTTACAATAATACATAATATATATTAGTAAGTCTTAATGTTACATATTATTTTAAGTATAATGCACTTCTGAACCAACACAGGGCAAAAGAATAAGCAAATAAAAGCTTTTTGGTTTAGATAAACCAGAGTTCAACTCTGCAGTTTTATACTATATGGCAACATTTTCTTCTATAAGATTGAGGTATACCACCTATTTTCAAGGTGTTTGTGAAGGTTAAGGTATTCCATTATCATATAACACAGCACAGACACATAGCAAGTGCTCAGTATTGTATGGCAGCTAATACAGCTATCTAGATAATTCAGCTTGAGAAACAACCCAGTGTATCCCAAATTACACAGACATTGTATATAGTATTCTCTTGGAGTAATCAGTACAGGATAAGAATATAAGAACACTGGACTCAAAATTAGAAGACTGGAAATCAGCTGTTGGCTGTATGACGATAGCACTACAAATTAGATCACTAAATCTCAGTTTAGGGGTGGGGTAAAATTCTTAGCTTAAATTAGCTATGATACCTCATATTAAAGAATTCTCCATTATGCTTTCATGGCTCAGACCTGACCAGAGACTCTGTTTATGCCAAGTTGAGATCTCCTGAGAGAAAACATCCAAAGGTTTTGTCATTATCCACTGATTGCTCCAAAATGGGTTATTCTGCCCACTAACCACTCACAAACTTTGATAACAAAGACTAACTGCTGCTTACAAATGCTCGTTTGATATTTAACTTGCTATTTTCTATTCAGGGCAAAATAACTATCTTGAAAATAGTTTTTAATTCTCAGCCACAGTGAATAGGAGATGCCAATCAAAAGTGGCACTCTCCATTCGTAATTGATTTGCTATTCATTGCTGCTTTATTAACATACCTCATTCTCCTTTCCCTTTAGGAAATAAATAATCTGAAAGCAGATAATGATGCCCTAAAGATCCAACTGAAATATGCACAGAAGAAAATAGAATCCCTCCAGCTTCAAAAAAGCAATCATGTCTTAGCTCAAATGGAGCAGGGTGACTGTTCTTAGCCCAGAAACTCAAGGAGCACAATCTGTAGATGAGTATATAGTGGAGATCTCATTTCCAAAAGTGACTGTAACACACAGACCTGAGGAACTTCAGACTGACCAGCTTTAAAACAGTACTTTAAAAGGAAAAGCCTCTGTTTATTTACCTAAAAGAATCCTAATGTGCAGCATTGTTTTCTCCTTCAGTCAGTTGACTCAAAGGGGGAAAACTAAAGAATACAAAACTTTTGCTATTCATACTGCTGACGTTTATCAAAAGTATGTGATCTAAAATATGACTATCGTTTCCTGACAAGGGGGCATCTCAGTGGCCTGCCTGGCTGGTTCTTCCTTAAAACTAAAATCTCTGGAAAATGTATTTGCTTCCTACCCTCTGTTTTCTGTCAACAGACTTATTTTGTTCCAGCCAAAGCTTGCTTATAATAGAGAACTACCCATATCCCAAGAGTAGATTTCCTCTATATCCCAGCATACTTTGTAAACCTGGCCCCTTCTTCACTACCTCAGATCTAATCAATTAGCCTATGTACCCTCCTTCCTCACTACACTCATACACATGAGCATATCTACCTATGAGCGGATTTCTACCAATATAGCCAAAACATTTTAGAGGCCTATTAAACAAGACATTATCCAACTGCAGGTCAACTCATAGTTGTAGCCTTACAATTTACAGTCGTCATAAAATAAGTAGTCAAATTAGGTACCTGAAAACATAGCTATTACCATCTCATATTACTGGTTAATTAAAATAAACATAATGCAAACACGTTTGTCCTTATATATTATACAGTGGACAGAATTAGGAATTGATGGCTTTAAAATAAAAAAAGTCTATGAAGAGTCTAACTCTTCATGTTCCATCTTCTGAAGTAAACTATTTTGAAAGTCCTCTTTTTGAACTGAATTTGTGCTGAACTGTCTTCACTATTACTACTCTTTAGAAATAAGCTAATTGGATCAGTGGCTTAAATAATAGCTGACTGTGTGTACATATGTATATAATATGTATATACAATATCAGGCATGTATGTGGCTTGGAATTTTGTTTCCTCCATAAAATAATGTGGAAGTGAATTAAACAAGTTTTAGTCATTTATACAAAGTCACGAATATAAAGTTCAGTTTGTCACAAGATTAGACTGCTCACAAGGTAAAACTGTATTGTTTGGTAAAATCACAATCCTGTGAGTTTTCTTTTATGAAGGTTAATAATAAATGGGCTCATTTAGTTGCTTAGGCAACTATTCACAAATTCCTTTGTCAGCCTCTTTTTAGTTCTCTTAAAAAAAAAAAAATCATACAATCATTTTCCTTTTTCAGGGTACTTGGTTTCCGTGCCTGAAAAGTCTGGTACCAGACTGACTTGAAATTCATAAACAAGCTGTCCAGTTGCCAAGAATATAATGTTAACAATTAAAAGTTCCAAACCTAAAGCCAAGAACACCACGTCTTCATAGGAATACAAAGTATGTATACAGCATTGCTTACCTGGAGGATTCAGATCATCTAAGAATTCTCTTTGATGAAAGACCAGTTCCCATTTGCGTTCCTCCTTGCACTGAGTTTTAGTGACATAGAACTAGGTTGTAGTTAGTGTTTCATTACATTATAAAGAAACATTTTACACACATATGTGCCCTTTTCTAAATCTAAATTCAGAAATACCCAAAGCAGGCCTGCTTAGGCCCACAAACTGGCATGTAAACTTATAGTAACACTTTGTTACTTGCTTTTTATAGGACAAACATGAGTTAGGACAAACTCTAAAATTCATATTCTTCACTATTTTCCTTTGATACAGACCAAAGATGGAATACTTCAATTTTTTAAAACAGTCACAGAACACATTTTTTTTTCATTCTTCCTACTTTCCATCCAAAATAAAGATCCCCACTGAGTTTTTATATAAATAACCTATAATCTATAGGGATTCAAAAGGTTACAGCCCCTTTAGTCAAATTAGCAATGGCTAACAGTATCAAGTACTGCAGAATTTACCACTGAAATGGACAAGAGGAAACAGTTTCACCACAGGTCTTTACAGTCCAGCAAGGGCCAAAGAGGTATAGTATAGTATACAAGTTAACAATGTTTGTGTTGAGCAACATGGGGCTAGTGGGATCTACAGAAATAATCTGAAAAAAAGGTTTTGGTTTCTCAATCCTAGTACAAATTTTTGCTTCTCACACTGACTTTAGTTTGGCCAGGTATTTATCTGCCAAAACAAGGACAAATCTTGTTTTACTAACAGCACGGTCACTTCTCATTTTCTTTGCTGACTCACCTTTTTTACTGACCAGTTGTGAACTTCTGTCTAAAAATGTATAATACAGAACTGCAAGAAAAAAACAATTGTACATATATTGTAAAGTTTTTTTGATACCTAATGTAAGTTTTCTTTGTGTAATATTTATATAATAAAAGACATTAGGATCCCTACAACATAAATGTCTTGTGCTTCTTCTATTTCGTGACTATGTAAACACTTTACCTGAATTTTTACTATAATCCACAGCTAAGACCATTCCCCTATTCTGTTACTCAAACTGAGTTTTCCTGGAAGGAAAGGCAAAGCAGCTATTCAGTTTAAATTTTTCTAAATCTTTTTACAACACAAAGAAGTAACAGTATAGGAATATTTAACCTCTTTCCATCTTATTCATAACTTACAGTGGTCACTAAATATTAAGTCTATAAATACTTAACATTAAAGGAGACAGAATTGAGGTTGTCAATTCTCTGTGGCTTTTAATTCCACTGTTCATCTAAGCAAACTAGCAAGTAAAGAAGAGAAACTTTGAAGCTATGGATAAAATTGGTAAACGATAGTTCAATCCAGGTAACAGACCCCCAAGAGGAATTTATTTGTGGTCATGATTATTTAGAGTAATCAGAGATAGCCACAATTTTCCCTTAATCCCCAGCTAAATTTTTGTTTAACCAAACCAATGAAGAGAGAGGAAAAAATTCAGTCACTCAGATTCCCCTGTGGAATGCATTCTAGAACATTTAGATGTGAGTGTATTTATCATTTGGACAGTTCATAATACTTCATACAAAGTAATGAAGTCATATGGACAACCTGGTCCTGAAGGAGAGATTAAACTGCCTGCTCACCTCCCCCAGTTTTCATCCCCCAGTTTCTCTAACCTGTGCTCCTTCCAAGCTATAGATAGTATCACTGCTCAGGACATTTTTCTGGTCACAAACTTTTTTTTAGGTTGTCGTGCCTCCTTTTGTCACAAATACAGGTAATAAGATGTTTTTTATTTAAAATGTTTTCCCTTTTCTGTTTAATGAGGGAAAGTTTCCCTGATCTGCAAAACAAAAGTAAGTTAGTTCAAAGAAAACCCTTGTTTCCCTTTTGATGCGTGCTTATGAGTAATAGTGTGGTGATTATGTATAGACAGAATACATGCTCTTTATATGGTCCAGAGGAAAGGTCAGTGACAACTTTAATCCAGAAACTCCCAGTAAGATCGTGTCTATACGTCCTAGTAGGTACTAGGCTAGATAAAGAAGAAAAAAGGGAAGGACAATGATGTAGTAAAAAATGAAACTGAGAACCAGGCAAAAAAAGAATGAAAAGGAGATATCAAAAAAGTGTTAGATTTTAGGAATCAGAAGAGTGCCATTCATCATACTCCGTGTTGTATTGCACTCAATTTATAAAACATTTTCACACTATGGCCTTTCACATTAGGCCCCAAATCCCCTTCCTGCTATTCTAGATACTGCTCAGCAAACTGTTCTACAAAAGAAATTTTTACTGAACAAATATGAAAATCCCACTTTACAGGAAAAAGTAAAATATTAGATTCTACATGATTCAGCTTTTCATTCAATTAAGCTTTATAGGAATGTGTACCTAGGAGTGGTTTCAGCTCCAACATGTTTCCAGGAGCAAGTGCTAAACTTTGATAAGAAATAAGTGACTGTAGTGAATAGCTCAAGAGGCACTCCTATAAAGGTACAAAGAAATCTTATTGAAAACCTTATGAAACTGATAAACTATTGTTTCTGTCATAGTTACCACAAACCTTTAGTGGCAAAAAAGTTGAAGTAATTGTAAATGCCCTTTATCAGAAACTAATGCTAGGAAAAAAAAAGGCAGAAATGTAAAGGTTTTAAATGCAGATTTTTAAACAAATAACTCTAGAAATATTTTACTCAAATAGCTTTTTCCTTATATAGTTTTTAAAAATTATTTTTCAGAGTTCATAACTATTGATAAAGGCATTTTCTTAATTATGGGAAACCTTTTAGCTATCACAAATGAAATTAAGTCTTTTCATTAAACATAAACACACAAAAAATAAATTTACAAATAACTAAAAAACTTTATATTTTCCTACCTTGAACACATTTCTTCAAAGGGTTAGCTTGAAAAATACATGTCTAAGATTACAGAATATTCAATATTTACTTTTAAGGTTTTAACATTATTTTAGATTTTACCACAGAGATAACCAAAACAACAACAACAACAAAAAACCTGCTAAACATCTAATACCACTTGTCCACTGGTAACAATTCAGCTGTCTATCACCTGAGTTGGTTAGATCACAGAAAGTTGTTATGCAGAGGTATTGACCAGAAGCCTACAATGAGATACAGATTTTACACTGAGATGGAAAACATTTATGTTACCAGCTCTTTTTCTTTAACTCTTTACACTAAGGAAAATGCATTACTTGGCCTACATCTTAAAGCATTCAAAATTGGCCCTCTGTAAGTTTTTAACAAATTGCATTTGTACTTAGGTCTTTATGAAACAATGTGATATGATGGCAAGTGTCTCATTCCTCATCTGACAAATGAGGACAAATCGCTCCTTGAGAACTAAGGTCATTTCAACCCACAGCACCCTAACCTAGTGCCACGATTCAAATTCACAACTCTTGATAACTAAGACTTTGCTCCAACTAGCAAACCACATATAGCCATTCCCTAACTTTGTGTTTCCCAAATCTAGCTGTGAATCAGAATTACCAACGGATGCCTTAGCCCTACCCTTGATCTACTGAAGCTGGAAATTACTGCCTTAATCCCGTATGATACACATCAGCCTGCCTTTTATTATTTGGATGTCTAAAGTGAGAATATAAATCATGAAGAGACCAGTTTATAGGACTATTTCTCACACCATCATATAAAGTTGGTAGGTGTCTTTGCTCTGTTAAAGTATTTCTGACCTCAATCTTTAACTATGCTTTGTCAGTCAAACAAGATCATGAAGATTTCAAATCCAATTAGACAATAAATATGTACAGTAAAAAGTAAACTTGGGCTTCAATTAATGAAACTTTAACAGAAACATGGCTAGAGAGGGATCTCCTAAGAGAAAAAAATGATTCACAACAACTGCCTACTAAACACAACTGTAAGTGCCTTTCCCTATTTTGTAAAATCGAACGAAAAAATCCACAAAACACATGCACAGCAATACAGGTGAGGCAAGGGTCTATATTCCTTTCCATTACAGGTGGGTTCATTTAAGTCTCAAACCTGAACAAAATACAGGTAACAATCTAAATTCAATCATGACAATAAAATACTTTCCATTTTCCAAGTTTGATGGTAATAAATATTTACAGTTTAAAAAATAATTTTTGTTCTTTTTTGTTTTTTAAAAAGACACAACATGCTCAAGGGTACACAGAATATGGAAAAAGTCATCACTTCATTTGAGAGATCAACTGGTAGTAAAAAACATTGTTCTTACATATTAACCAATTCAAGAATGGTATCACCAGGAAGTCTAACATGGTGTTTACCTCAAAGATGATATTCAAGTATGTTATTTAGAACACTATGTCTAACATATCTATAAAGAAGCAAGCACTGCTATCTAGTTTTTGTAGTTTTTAGTATCTTCTATATCCACCCCCACCACCGCCACCACCACCACCTCCATATGGATCTCCATAGCCTCTTCCACCATAGCCCCCTCTTCCACCATAGCCCCCTCTTCCACCATAATCTCCCCTGCCTTGGAAACCTCCTCTACCACCTCCTCCTCCCCCTCCCCCACCGCCACCCCCTCCCCAACCTCCTCCACCTCCCCAGCCACCTCTTCCTCCCCCCCCACCACCACCACCTCTACCACCACCACCACCACCCCAACCACCCCTCCCACCGCCGCCTTCTTGTCTCTTTTGCCAAGGGGGCATTTCTGGAGGTGGTGGTTCAATTTCATTCGGCCGGCCTCCCCTGTCAGGCACTCTTCCCATCAGCACCTGTGTGAAGAAACATTTTCTTTTAGTTTCTAATATTCTAAAAGTTAAAGTTTACATCAAAGTTTCAAGTTATATTATCCTTTCTAGTAAATAGAAGCCAATATTTAAGGACATCAAAGTATCAGACATAACAGTGCAAATTAATATTAAAAATATTAAGTGCGGAAGGATAAGGAGAAATTTGTTAAAGGATACAAAACGACGGCTAGATAGGAGGAATAAATGCTAGTGTTGTATACCATTGTATGATGACTGTAGTTAATATTTAGCTTCGAATAGCTAAAAGGAGGATATTGAACATTCCCAACACAAAGAGATAACAAATGTTTGAGATGAGGGATATGCCAATTATCCTGCCTGATAACTATACATTGTATGTATCAAAACATCACTGTGTACCTCATACATATGTACAATGTGTTTCAACTAAAAAAGTAATGTTACTTCCTGTTTACCAAGTCTGAAGAAAAAAATGAATTTGTAAAAAAAGAAAATATGAAAAAATATGAAATATGTGTGATATATGACAAATTCCTTAGAATGTTATATTATTTCTAGTCTGAGAGAGTATTTCTGAAACTTAAAGCCTTAATTTTTTATCACTTAAATCTGTTTAGCAAATTCTGTAACAAATGTAGTACTCACTTCACTAAGAAATTTTTTTTAGGAAAACATTTTTTATGTATATAACGACATACCTTATATTCATTAACTTAATATCCATTTATACAATAACAACACCGGACTTTCTATTGCCATTGATTTGGTAATTGATTATCCAATAAAAGATTATATTCCTAAGCACATTTCATTTCAAAAACATATTAAGTATATATGATAACATGTGGCCTTAATGATGTCAAAGACTGATATAAAAACTGTAATTCCAGGTGTAACTACAAAGAGAGAGAAGGATTCTCAATGAACTACTTCTTTTAAAACACTTAAGCTCAAGTACTTGCAGTGATGATACTACTACCATATTACTATAAGGAAAACAGAGTTGATGTAATTCATTTACTAAGCTTTACAATCCTTTCAAAAATAAACCAGGGAAGTTAAACTTAGTTTAAGTATCCAACCTTCTGTAGAAAGTAGGAGCTTTATATGACACAAGCAGAGGAAAGACAACGATAAGAAAGGTATCATCTGCTCACCACAGACAAGGGGAAGTCAATAGCTTCCTGCGAGTGTCTTTCA